AAACTTCTCAGCCAAATATAATGTCTTGTCGCCTTCGCCATAAATTATTTGATTAGATTTATTGGAGACAAAAGCATAGTATTTTTAAAAAGTGCATGAAAAAAAAAAGAAACCTTAATGAAGAAGAGTAAAAATTTTGCACTTGAACAGCTTTTAGAAGTTCCAAACCTTCCTGAAATTAAAATAGTTTAGTTAGTGTAGAGACAAAACTAGACGTGGTAATATCTGAAAGAAAAAATAAATAAAACTTTAAGGGGAAGAATTTTCTATCAACAACTACCTGTTAGACTCTGATCTCCATGTGTACGTTTTTTTAGAGGAAAACTTTGTTGCAAGATGTGGAAATTGCTTGGGAGAGACAACATCTGTATCATTTTACACCATTTGCGAATACCGTGGATGAATTTTTGCTATATTATGGCCGAACAAAATTTTCTGTATGCGAAAGTTTGACAAAAAAATCAAAAAATTCAACTTTGCTCTACAACTGGACAATAATTGACCAAAATAAGAAAGAAGTGCAAAAATTCGCATCACGTTCCTGCCAGATTCTTTGGAATGCATCTAAGCAGGTTTATGCCGCTTCGACTGCTTTATCCCGATTTTTATTTGAACTTTTCCTGCACAGTATTTTTGCCTTTCTGCGTAGTAACTGGCAGCCTAATTGCCAGAATAAAAACCTATTGTGAAAACTTTTTAGCATTTATTTAACTGAAATGTAATGTAATTGCTTATCTTTTTCTTACGATATTAAAAAAAACTTTCTAAAATAATCAACATTTTAGGGACAGTACACGGTAACTGTTAACGGTAAATCACTGAAGAATAATAATGTGATAATTCAAGGAGAAGAAACGGTACAGATTAAAGATTACTGGATTGCTGCTGTAGGTGATTCGTTTGCATCTGGTGAAGGTAATCCAGATGTACCTGCAAAAATCTCAACCACTTCTCCGGCACAGTGGCTTTCCGGTAAAAAAAAATTACTCCCAAACGAATACAGAGTTACAACTTAGTACAATAAACATGGAAAGTATGACAATGCATTATAAAAAGTTAATCATTGTTGTA